TTTTTTATGGTCGGTCTCCTCAATTAACTTTCGACAGTCATCAGCAGTGGCTGGATTGAGTAGAAATGTCAGCACGTACAGTGGTTGCTCGCACTGCCCCCATCGAGATTCCACACAGTTCACCAATTCACAACGATAGCTGGCTAGAACTCCATTGAAACCTACGAAAATATCTCTGAAAGATACCACTACATCAGCCATTGTGTTTTCATCCCTTTGTAATCGATACGATGCTTCTGACAGTGGTGCAATTAACGCTTCCGCTTCCTCCAGTTTCCTCCAGAATGCAAGATCACTAAATACTGCCAAGGAACTTGGGAAATCTCTGTAGCCACGGTACTTACTACCCAACATTTCGAGTGAACTTCGAACTCGAAGAAGAGACGCAAAACAACTTTGCATACTGTTCCACCGTGTCTCGCAAAGCGTGAAAAGAGCTAGCGGTTTAGCGTAGCACTCCGTCATCAATGCCCTCGCCCTTACTAGCCATTTTGATGACGATGCATTCAGGCACTTCACAGCAGCTGTTGCGTCCTTAGCAACATCGGCAAATGCTGACTTTAGGACTGCTTTAACAATGTTGTTAATATAGTGCGCGAAACAAAACAAAAACACCATATTAGGCCAACGTAAGGCCAAAATACGGCGAGCCCGGCCACATTGACCCGCGTTATCAGTTACACCAGCTCCAACATTCCACTCTTCGTTTACCACCTGGTTCAAAATCGTATCCATCTCTTCCGCGATGGCTGCTCCGTCATGCCGACTTCCCGCTTGTGGCAACGAATATGTAAGGTAATGCCCAAATAGTTGAAGTTGGCAACCCAGCAAATGCTCACGAGAAATATTCTGCCACAAATCAGATAGAAAATTCACATATCCTCCTGTAGTTATCTGCTTCTGCTTCAAGTTCTGAATCTGGATGTCACGGCAATGAGCGGCATGGCTTTTCAAAATGCGGCCTCCTAGTACTCGCCTTGAAGGGAGATACGAGCCAATACCGGGGCACAGATACTCAAGCAGTGCTTTTGTACACGAACGTTCAATGAAAAGATCTGGTAGCAAATTTCCAGCCTGAAACTCGACAAGCAGTCTCTCCAACTCTTGTTTTTGGCTCTTCGAAAAGCGTCGCTGGGATTTAGTCTTTGGGGGTGTTCGTTTAGCTGACTTTCGCCGAGGTGGCGACTTCGTAAACACCAGACGAGTGTTTATTGGCCGCTGTCTGCCTCCTTGCCCTGATCCACTGGAATCATCATCACTAGAATGCGCTTGTGTAACCCCAACAGTAGATCGATAAGCTTCACACTTACGCAGGTGACCAACGTAGTTGTAAGAGCGCCCAAGAATAAGTTCAGGTGGTTTCAAGTCCGGGTTCATGTTGTAGGCAAGGGAACAATGTTTGCATGTGTAGAACGAGTATTTACCTTTGCTCTTGGGAACCTCACGCATCAACTTGAAATGATCCCGTTCGGAAACGTGTGGTCGTACCATAATTACACAAATTTGCGGCGTGCACTACCAATGCGGATATCACGGACGGCAACGAGAACACGAGCTCCAATGAGAAGGGGATGCAACGGGAGCCAGGACGCTAATGAGCACACTGGTGCCAGCAGGAGGACGGGCCGCTACGAGAACAATAACGGCAACGAGAACACGAGCGCCAAAAATAACACGGGTTGCAACACAGACGCCGGCAAGAACACGGGCCACAACGAGATCACGAGCGCCAGCGAAGGGGAGGACACCAATAAGAACACGAGCGCCAACAAGATCACGGCGCCAAGGAGAACACGGACACCAGAGAGGGCCCTGTGCTACAGAGAACACGGATGTCACGAAGAGCACGGGAGCCAACGGGAGCGTGAACGCCAACGAGAACACGGGCGACACAGAGAACCCGGCAACCTCGGGGAACACGGACGCAAACGGGGGCACGGACGCCAGCGAGATCACGAGCGCCAATGAGAACACCGACGCCAGCAAGAACGCTGTACCACAGAGCTCACGGACACCACGAAGAACACGGAAGCCAACGGAAGCACAGACGCCAGCGAAAACACGGGTGCCAACGAGAGCACGAACTTCTGCGAGTACCTGAGCGCCAAAGAAAACACCAGCGCCAATGAGATCACGGCGAGGACACGGACCACAGCGAGAACACGAGCGCCAGTGAGCGAAAGAACGTCAACGAGAGCTAAGAACTCGGGAGGCAACAAGAAAAAAGCGCCACAGAGATCACAGGTACCAACGAGAACACACACAGGCGCCTACAAGACCTTGAGTACCACGAAGCGCACGAGATGTAAGAGAACAATGGGTGTTCTAAACAAGCTAGCATGTACCAGTACGGGCTGGCTATGGCGGGGGGATTTTAGTTGTGAAAGGTCAGTTTTACGGTCACTGAAATTAAGTATGCAATACAACAACCAATATTTTCTGAATAGGCGCCTTAACCAAAAGGCGAATCGGCTGCCGCATCGCCTAAAACCCTCGCCTAAACCCGTTTAGGCGCCTTTTGAAAAGGCGGTAAAGGCGGGCCGTGCCACCACTGCTCCCGATGTGCTGCAGCGTCCACCTAAGATGTGTCGTTAACTCGGGTGTGGTGTCACTCGTCCTGACACAAGATCACACGGACCGTTGGCGCCACCTGTTTCTATTATAATCATGGTGAGTAGTATTCAAGTGAGGATTAATGGACATCGTACTACTTAGAGAAAATATTGCAGATACATGATTAACTAATATATCAACATCTGCGCCTACAAAGCCCAACGGGATTCCCCAGCATTACTCGTACTGTAACATACTAAAAGTTTCAATAACGTAATTTATTTAATGGTTTTTCTCAGTATCTGTTAAAGCTAATCAATCAAAACTCGGTAATTAAACTCTCCACTGCCGCCTTGAGAAGAGATATGAAGTTTCTGTGAGAAATTTAGGCCACGTTGGAAGATGCCAATGCTGGTGGCAAACCACCAGTATTTGTACTAACAATGAAACATTGCTCGGTGAATTGAAGCTTGTCATTGATCCTGAGAATCCGAATATGGTATAGTGTGATGCCAATGACTTGCGACTCTTCTTGGCGAAGGATAATGGCGCGTGGGTGGAATCTGACTGAGAATATGTAGAGATGCCGAAGTAGGGTTAGAAGACTGCTATTATTGAAGAGCTAATGCTCGGAGATAAGAAACAACAAGGGGAGTTTGGGGTACTAGATGTTCTCATTGATACGACGTGGGGCTGGACAAATTCATCTACCGGTAAAATTGTCACAACCAACACGGCCCGTGGCTTCTCAGACAAGGAAATAATTTTGAACGGCGTCAATTTGCGGCGATAAAGCTCAGAAATGACAGTATTTTGGTACGCTCGTGAGATACCGGACCGAAAATGCTACGGATGCCATGTTGACATTGATTCGGCTCTTGGCTCTCGAGTCTACATTCGTCATTGTTATCCACAGCTGTGTGTGGGTGGG